AAGACTTTGAAAGCAAACAGATCTGAGTTCAAGTTCTGACTTTGCCACTTAACTGAATTTGAGACCTTGGGCAAGTTGCTTCCCTTCTGCATCTGTAAAATGGGATCAATAAGATATTGATGCCTACCTCTCTAGACAACTTGGGGGAGAAAATAGGATATTTTTGACAAATGCTTTGGGCAGGGTGTGGCAAATAATAAATACTTGATAAATGTTAGTTCCCTTGGGAATTTATCCATCACACATTGTGTAGAGCCTTCTGCTTTCCTGCCCACTCTTGCCCTTTGCTCCTAATCTCCCCATTCCTCTCATGCTGAATCAAAAGAAGCCACTGCGTCCAGGATAAATGTGTTTCTTGACCTTACTTGCACCTGAACACACATCTTTGCCCTAAGAATGTGGTTTGGAAATGGAGATTGGGTGGCCTCAATTGAGCTACCAGATAGTTGTAGCCATAAGAATGACCCCAAGTGAAACCAACAGATGAACCACCCAGCTGAGCCCAGCCCAATTTGCTACCCACAGAATCACAAACAAGTAAAATGTTTGTTGTTTTAAACCAGTTTGGGGATAGTTTCTTATGCACAAAAGATAACTGATGCACAGTCTTTAACAGGCAGTTCTGTGTATGGCTGCTGAGTTCACGGTAAATCCCAATTCTCTAGGCATTATCCCCTGAATCACAGATGTGGGCTCCCAGGAGCACTGCTCCCTTGGCCACAGTTGCTTGGTCAAGAAGAACCCTGTCTGAGCCTTGAACAATCATAGTCCCTCTCACATCATGGCAGTGCTCTAGATGGCTGTGCCAATACCTGTCATTGCAGGGTTGCCCAGGTTCTGCTCTTCCCAAGGCCTGGTTGTTCTATAGTTCCTCAGATCTGATGAACTTTCCTGGTATCTTTCAAATCAATTCCATTTCTCCTTAAGATAGCTAGAGTTGGTTTCTGTTGTTTGTATCCCCAAAATTCTTAATAAATAAAAGTCCCCTTCAAAGAGTTTGACCTTTCATATGAGGAAAGGGTAGTTGTTCAAATGCTCCTTATGCATAGAACACCATGCTGACCTCTATGGTGGAAGAAAAAAGTGAAGAGAAAGCACCACCCGTATCCTCAGGGAGTCTCCAATGTAAGAGCCCTTCTGGCTCAGTTATCTGCCTGCTCTTTTCCTTGATTTTCAGACCTGGCAACTAAAGAGAGTTCTACCAAGTCTGGAAGACTTTGAATTATTGCTCATTAACTTGAATTTTAAGACCATGTATCATCCTTTCCTCTGCCTGGAAAACTCACAAGCCAATCTGATTCTTTACTATTTGCCTAAGGCCATTCAGATCCTTGAAAGATGAACTAAAAGCCACTTCTCCCTCTGAGTAGGCCAAAGTCCAAAAAGGATCTAATGCTTTTCCTTGTGACCTTTAAGAAGACTTACTTAATAAATGGTTATTGTTTTTACACCACTAAGTTTTGGGTGGCATGGTACATGCAAAAGCTAAGTGGCATGGTTATTTTGAGCAGAAAAGAAATTTATTAAGAGCTGTGTCCCCTAGGCAGACACAGCTGACTCTCATAGACAGTTAGCCTGGAGGTCAAATCACCCCTGGTATTGCCGACAACAATCACTGCTTAATTACAACAAGACTGCGCACAAAGACCACTAGGGGGTGCACCAAGAAAAGATAAAAAAAATGCGGAGACAAAGAAACAGGACGAAAATGTCAGAAATGGAAGATATAGAGCTCAAAACCACACTTTTAAGGTCTCTCAAGAACTGTCTAGAAGCTGCCGATAAACTTAGTAAGGCCCTCGAAAAGACTGGTGAGACCGCTGATAAATGTAGTGAGATCCTCAAGAAATCTAATGAGACCCTCGATGTTGTGATAAAGAACCAACTAGAAATTAAGCATACACTGACTGAAATAAAGAATATTATACAGACACCCAACAGCAGACCAGAGGAGCGCAAGAATCAAGTCAAAGATTCGAAACGTGAAGAAGCAAAAAACACCCAACTGGAAAAGCAAAATGAAAAAAGAATCCGAAAATACGAAGATAGTGTAAGGAGCCTCTAGGACAGCTTTAAGCGCACCAACATCAGAATTATAGGGGTGCCAGAGGATGAGAGAGAGCAAGATATTGAAAACCTATTTGAAGAAATAATGACAGAAAACTTCCCCCACCTGGTGAAAGAAATAGACTTACAGGTCCAGGAAGCGCAGAGAACCCCAAACAAAAGGAATCCAAAGAGGACCACACCAAGACACATCATAATTAAAATGCCAAGAGCAAAAGACAAAGAGAGAATCTTAAAAGCAGCAAGAGAAAGAAACCCAGTTACCTACAAGGGAGTACCCATACAACTGTCAGCTGATTTCTCAACAGAAACTTTGCAGGCCAGGAGGGAGTGGCAAGAAATATTCAAAGTGATGAATACCAAGAACCTACAACCAAGATTACTTTATCCAGCAAAGCTATCATTCAGAATTGAAGGTCAGATAAAGAGCTTCACAGATAAGAAAAAGCTAAAGGGGTTCATCACCACCAAACCAGTATTATATGAAATGCTGAAAGGTATCCTTTAAGAAGAGGAAGAAGAAGAAAAAGGTAAAGATACAAATTATGAACAACAAATATGCATCTATCAACAAGTGAATCTAAGAATCAAGTGAATAAATAATTAATTATAATCTGGTGATCATAATAGAATCAGGGACATAGAAAGGGAATGGACTGACTATTCTTGGGGGGGAAAGGGGTGTGGGAGATGCGGGAAGAGACTGGACAAAAATCGTGCACCTATGGATGAGGACAGTGGGTGGGGAGTGAGGGCGGATGGTGGGGCGGGAACTGGGAGGAGGGGAGTTATGGGGGGAAAAAAGAGGAACAAATGTAATAATCTGAACAATAAAGATTTAATTTAAAAAAAAAGAATAAAGAAAAAAAATAAAAAAAAAAAAAAGAGCTGTGTCCCCTAAAATGCCAGGGCACTGTGAGGCTTAGAGGCTCTACCTAGAATCACATCACAGAACCGGCCTGGCCAAAACCACTGTACCTGCTGTTATGGATACCAGCACCATGACCCCGGACCCTGGTAGCTGCCACTGGGACCACTGTCCTCAGGAAACTGGATAGAGCTATTATTGCTGCCACCTGTCCTCAGAATTAGGTCACATACAGGCAAGATATTCTACAAAATAAATAACAGACACAAAGGCAAGGGCACTGAACCAACAAAGCAGGAGGCCTGGAGCCAGGGCCCAGGAAGCCCCCAGTGTTGCTAGACGTCAACCCTTTAGTAGCTGAATGGGGGAGGTTTAGCACAGGAATCCTGGGGCAGGAGACAGAGCAGTTGGGCCACATACCTTGACTAACCATTACAAAGCATGTCCGTGTTTTAACAACTAGTAATATAATACCAGTGCATACAACTTTCCCCAACGAATTTAGTCACTAGTAAGGAGACTAGCGTTGTATGCTTGGCTTAGATGAATCAAGAGCCACCCCACCTTGGTAAACTGGGGCTATCGCCACTTTTTCTGGGCACATGGCCACTCAGTGAATGAACAAAAGAATAAAATCAGGATCTGCCAGTAAGTAAAGAAGAAGGTGATGAGGGAAGGTGAATTAGCATAAATAATCAACAGTGTCTGTGATACACACCCCTCAATCCATGTCTCAATGCTAAGGTGGGGTGGGGGACAGGGCACCTCAAGGTCCAAGTGACTAATTGTTCATGTACCTAGCAAGGGTCACAGAGGGCCAAGGTCACTACTGTCCCAGTTACCTGCATCAGGTGTTTCCCAGGATATGGAACTTTTCACGAAAAAAACTGACAAAGCAGGGACACACAGGACAAGTTCATCACCTTATGGCAAGACCAGTTAGTCCCTGATCTGCACCATGTTACTTAAGAGGAACTAGAAAGGGTCAGAGAGATTAAGTGTGGCCCAGGATCACACTGCTAATTCATTTACTCCTTTACTTCAGTTAGTCGAACATTCCATGTCACTTAAGTTTTACAATCCTGTGACATGGCTATTGTTCTATGGGTGAATATGTAATCATAATATATGTTAATAATACAGTAATAACAGCCTTTACCAAGTGTCTGTCATCTATCCAGCACAGTTCTTGGCACTTCGTACATATTAATCTAGTTTACTACAGTCATAGGGAAGATACCACTATTATTTATTCCCACTTTACAGATGAACCACAGAAAGTTAAATAACTTGCCAAAGTTACACAGTTAAGTGGTAGGACCAGGATGTCTTGGTCAGTCAGGCTCCAGTGCATGTCATACACTGTACTGTGTAGTACCCACCCCATGGTGCCTGGCCTGGCTGCATTCCAGCCCAAATCCATCCACTGCAAAGCCAGCAGATCCCACCAGACCCCTCACTCCAGGTGAAATATCCCATTTCACTGACAGATGGCTCATTGAAGAGGGACAGACAGGGAGACGGTACAGCTATGTTGTACCTGGGTTGAACTTCTGTTCGAGGGATTCATCTGGGAGTGCCCTGGTGAGTGTGATGTCATGGGTTACAAAGGCCTGTGACTGGGTGCATGACGTCACTGTACCTCAGCTTTCACAGCTACCGAACTGGGAATCTAGACCACATTATGGTTAAGGTCCTATCCAGGACTGGGGGAGTCCCAGGCACCCAACGATCTCAATTCAACAGAAATAACTGAGATCAGGAATATCAAGGCAGCCATGAAACATGAAAGAAAATCAAATTAACCAAAAGCAGCTGCAGTATCCTTTCTCTGCTTTTTTCCTTTGGTAATTTGTTTTCCAGGCTGCTCATATATGAAAATCAGGCCTAAGATTTCAGAATAAGCTGAGAAAAAAACAAGAAATGAGAAAGGGTATTTCTTGTTAGTCTTTACAGATGTCCCCTACAATCAAAGTACTCCTGAACCCTCCCCCTCCAACAATTTTTTTTTTTTTTTAAAAAGGGCTGTGTCTGCATTTCCCCCCCCCTTAGAGGGAATGTTAGCTTGCAAGTCCTCTTCATCTTGACACTTTCACTTCCTTTGCTACAAGGTGAAGTGGCCATCGGGCCCGTGCAGGAGACTCTCTCCACGGCGTTTCCTGACACTTGAGCCTCCAAGGGCCCTCGTTAGGTGCTTGTCTTCAAGATGATCGGCCTGCTCTCCCCTGCGCTGTTGAGGTGAGTGAGCCCTCCAACAAATTCTCTGTGCCACGTTGCTCATAGACATACAGACTATGCTTTAGTTCCTGATTTATAAAGAATTAAATTGCTTTCGGCCACTGCCACTTCACGGGGTAATGAGCTAACCATCTCCTCCGCCACTTCAGTCTCTGCCTGAGGTTTTCTGGTCAGACGGGCCCTCTCTGCTGAGGCCACAGGTTACCCAGCAGAACACAGGCAGACTTCCAAGGAGGAGGCTCCTGTCCCACGAAGAAGATGCTCTCCCTTCCTGAGGGCCAACAACACTGCCTTTTCGTGGAAACTCACACCTCTCCCCATGTTCCTAACTCCATACTTTCTTTCACTTACAGAGAAACACCAGGAATTTGCTAGAATAAATGACATCTATATGCCCTGTAGGTATTTTAAATTTTAGATGTTTCCTTTTTAATGAGCTCCTCTGGAAATACATCTGCTCATAGGTGATACTGATTAAATTAGTTGTTTATCTGAGAGAAGCCTGCTTTTTCTCAGCAGAATGCTGGGTTCTGAAGGTGATGCAGAAGGGCCTATATCACATTTGCTATCCTCAAAACTATAATCTAATTAGGAGACAAGAGTAGCATTCATTCATTCATACATACATTCAGTGCACAATTATTGAGTGTCTACTGTATACTGGGTATTTGAGAAACCATACAAGTGGTTTCCAAGCTCTGAGCTCTGGGCCCAGGGCAGGGATTGAGGAATGGAGTTATGGCAAAGGGTCACAAATCCATAAATACCACAAGCATTGCCTGCAACTATTCATGCTCTTCTTATTTGTGCTTTCATTTGACAAATATTTACTGAGTGTTTATAAACATGCCTGGTGGGATAATGTCTCAGTCATGTCTGTATTTTCCCAAAGCATTTAGATGCAGCCGTGATTGATTAAATATGATGATATTTAAACGTTTTACTGTTCGTAATGTCCTATTGTCATTGAGCATTTTCTCAGTCAGTGGATGCAGAAGTTCATTATCATCTTGGAACTTCCCAAAAAGATTTAACATTTAAAAAATGTGCTCTTGTCCTGGCTGATGTGGCTCAGTAGGTTGGGCATCGTTCCATGCACCGAGGGGTTGTCGGTTCAATTCCTGGTCAGGGCACATGCCCAGGCTGTAGCTTCATTTTCAGTGGGTGGTGTGCAACAGGCAGCCCATCGATGTTTCCCTCTCACATTGATGTTTCTTTCCTTCTCTTCCTCTCTCTCTAGAAATCAATTTAAATACTTTTTTAAAAGAAAAAGAAAAAAATTCACTGTCATACTGAAAAATGTCTATAAGAAAAGGCTGATGCAGGGTCCATGACAGCACCAGAAGGGGTGGGGTCTTGTAGGAGAGCAGCCAAGAAGCCCACGGGTGAAAAAACACTGGAGGAGAAGCACCGATACTGTAGTTAACCAGTCTTAGCTACGGTGTGAAAAGGCTATTGCTCTAAATAAAGCACATCAATTATTTGTCATAAAATAATTTCATGACAAATGATATTATTTTATAGAATTATTATATATTATATATGATAAACAGTAAATAGACCCAGAACATCCAAATCTTAGCCTTACCGAGCAATCCTGATTATTTGGCTTCATTTCGGTAGTGTAGGTTTTGCAAAAGCAAAATATACTGTAATCTATGTTCATGGTTCTTCCTCTTTTCTGAGTACTTTATCTATACATCATTTGATTGAACATCATCAGAACTATGAGTGTGGACAGGACAGGAATCATTATCCCCATTTCACAGGTAAAGTTGGTGTGCTTGAGAATAGGCAATGGCCCAACTGGCATGGCTCAGTGGTTGAGCATCGACGTATAAACCAGGAGGTCACAGTTCAATTCCCAGTCAGGGCACATTCCCAGGTTGCAGGCTTGATTCCCAGTGGGAGGGCATGCAGGAGGCAGCCAATCAATCATTCTCTCTCATTGATGTTTCTATCTCTCTCTCCCTCTTCCTTCCTCTCTGAAATCAATAAAAAAAAAAATTTTTTTTAAAGATAAGCAATGAATTATACAGATACTAAATGGACAAGGGTTAACTGGGGAAAATGGTCAGGAAAATGGATTATGAATAACTATAAAATGATCCTGGGCTACATAATCTGGAATTTGGAAAAGAGGAAGTCAGCTAGAATGCCATTCTGCTATTGGCCATCATTTGAATTTTAACTAAGAATACCGTGCTCACTTGAAATGCCAATCTTTTAAAATAAAGTATAGCCCTAACCGGTTTGGCTCAGTGGATAGAGCGTCGGCCTGCGGACTCAAGGGTCCCAGGTTCGATTCTGGTCAAGGGCATGTACCTTGGTTGCGGGCACATACCCAGTAGGGAGTGTGCAGGAGGCAGCTGATCGATGTTTCTCTCTCATCGATGTTTCTAACTCTCTATCTCTCTCCCTTCCTCTCTGTAAAAATCAATAAAATATATTAAAAATAAAATAAAATAAAATCAAAGTATAGACATGTGAGCAGGACCTAGGAAAAAAGCAACAGAAAATATTTATGAATGACTGGCAAGTAAAATTTTAGGAAAGAAAGTCCAAGAAGTAGAATGAAGCACACAGGACACCTTAAGGGCCACTGAGTGAGGTTTGAGTTGGCTGAATAGGATTCCCCCAACCAGTAATTTCTGTTAACTGTACTTTCATGGAAGAGTAATTCATGTGGCCTAAAAAATCCTGAAGCTTAAATTATATTGGATCTCATTTCAGGTGATGCATATTTCAGTGAAAGGCAATACTGTCAAAAGAACAGGCGTGGGTTTAATTTTGCCTTCAGCGTTCATTAGCCATCAGACAACTACTTAATACTTAATTCCTCTGAACTTTGATTTATTCCATCTCGAAACTAAGAATGATAATATTTTCTTTGCACCGTTGTTTCAAGGATTCAAGACGTTGTATGCAAAGTACCCGCTAAGGTGCCCAGGACATAGCAGAAACTCAAGTGGAGGGAGCTAGTGTGTTGGGGGTGGGGCCGGGGGGGGGTGTTAAATTAATATGTGTTCTTGTGGCCTGAGCACCAAGCTTTGAGTCAAAAGACCTGGGTTTGGGTCCTGACTCTTCTCCTTGTAACCCTAGGATAAGATACTTGTTGAAGGTATTTAGGTTTATTCATCCTGAATCTCTTCACATGTAAAACTGAGTATAATTCCCCTTGTAATTTTTAGTTTGAAGCTCAAATGAAATGGTGGTGTGTTAAATAACTCTGAAATATAAATTTCAAATAGAATATCATTGCTACTAAGTCTTTGAACACTAATCATCTAGGTTAAAACAGACAGGCCTCTGTATGTGTATAAAAGTGTCGCTGTCATAGGAAGACAGGGTGAAGTTCTGTTCACGTTTTTCAAGAGTCCTAATAACAATGACAACAACAACAAAAAACCCTCAAATTACGAGAAATTTTTAGTTACAAAAGGGGCAATTTCGCAATTTTAAGGATGAGAAAACATTTGAAAGGGCTCACTCAGGTCATGGTGAACTGTCCTTCCCTGGGGTGACATCAGCAAGGACGAATGGCCATCTGTCCTGAGTAGTTTATCACAGAATCAGAGCCTTAACACTCGAGGGGGGCGGGGGGCAGGAGGGAGGGAGACCAGAGATAGTTTAGCCCAACCCCTTGTTTGACACAAGGGGAAACTGAGGCCCAGAGAAGTGAAGTTACTTAATCACAAGAACACTGCTGTGGGGGCCCTGAGCGGCCAGCCTGCCACCTGCCCAGGCCTCGCTTCTGCTCAGTGCTTTCCATGACTGCACTGTTACTTCTGCTGAAATACACGCCCCACTGGCCTTGAAATCCCTGCATCTGGCAAGTGGGAAGGACTGGGGAGCGAATCCAAAGCTGTCTGCTAAGCTAGGGGTTAACGTCCCCCTAAGGTTCCAGCAGAAGGCTGGAGGGCGGGAGGGGCGGGAGGCTGACTTCTTGACGGTCCTCCCGTCCTTATGCATTTATATGATATCATCTCGGAAACATTTAAACAACATAGATGGAACTAAATGTCTTGCCAGGTGGTAGCCTGTGATATATACAGACAGCCCCTGACTCACAAAGGAAGACTACAGAGGACCATACATACATACAAGCAGCTGCTGAGTCCACCCGGCCCCCACCACCTTGCAGCTGCCATGGGCTGTGTGAAAAAATTAAAAGAGAAAGAAAGGGGATAGAAAAAAACTTGGACCGCTGGCCAATGCGGCACTTTCAGAGGCAGAGGAAAGGGAGAAGCTGTGGAGACAGGAGCAGTGCAAGGGAATGGACTCTGCGGATACGTTTCGGCCCCAGGTGATCTGGAGCAGCCTCTGCTCTCTTTGTCAGAAAAATCTCCCCGGACAGTGACTGTCCCCTCCCATCCTTGCTGCCAGAAATGTTATCATTCTAGCACTTTGCCTCAAAGCCTTTTGCCTCAAAGCCTTTTTTTTTTTTTTTTAAGAAAGGCAAGGAATAAATAATAATTAATAATAAGAGTACCTGTCTTGTGAGGTTGTTGTGAAGATAAAGCAAATCAATGAATAAAAAGTCCTTAGCACTGGGCCCAATATGTGATATAATACTATTAACTCTCTTTATAACCACAATTATTCCTATTTCACAGATGAGAGAACTCAGGGCACAGAAGTTACTCCACCGAAGCCACATAACTTAGAGTTAGAACCAGGATTCAAACTGAGATCTGTGTCCAAATCCTAGCATCTCGACTACTGTGCTATAAACAGTCATATGCTTGGCATTGGGGTGGAAAGGGGATGAAAGTGGAGGGATATTAGGGCAATCATTCACACATTAGCAAGAATTAATTCAATCAGATTCTTTTCCTGCTGAGGATCACCTGTGTTCCGCTGCATTCAGAATATGAGAATTTTGACTAGTGAGGAGGGCCAATAGGTTATTTGGGAATAAGAGCAGGGAAGGCCTAGCGCCCCTGCTCCTATAGGCTTCCTATCAATAGGAAGCCTGGAGACAATGATATCCATGGGTGGAAGATGCAGAAAAAAAGGCAGTTTGGAGGGAGTCAAAGATGAATTCTGACCCATGTGAAAGTTTATCTAGGTCTGACCCTACACCCACGGCTCCAGATAACTTATTGGTAGACTACGAGATAGCTTAAATAAACTTCTCTGGGCTGGTTGGCAACATTCCCCTTCCATTTGCATTTGTAATGCATTTCTTTGGGGAAATGTGTGCTGAGTTCCAAACAAATGACTTGTAATTTAATACCGTGAATGCAGACTTTGCAACTCCCTGGACTGGGCCCTGTGCTAGGTGCTGGGGATACCAAAGTAAATATATGGCAAAATCCCTGCCCTTGAGCAGCCGGAACCCCGTGGCGGGGAGATGTGAGAGAGACAGTGTGCTGGGTGTAAGAGGAGAGGTGTGTGCGAAGCGCATCGGGGCACAGGGAAACTGCTTTCAAACAACTTTTGGAATCCAACCCCTGTGCAAGTTGGGAACTGCTCGCACTGCATTAGCAGCTACGGGAAGACCGCACTTAGCACTTAGCACTGAATGAACTCATTCTTCCACAGCACCGCCGCCTGCTTTTTTCCTGGCAAGGGGTGGTGTCGATGCCTATGCTTTTCTCTAAGTGGTGAAAGAGAGAGGTGATTGCATGGGCTCTGAACTCAAGACTGCTCTGATCTGAATCAGACTTTCATTTACCAGCAAGATGACCTTTTCTTGATCTCTCTGAGTCTCAGTTTCTTTATCTGTAAAATGGGGCCAGTGAAAACACCTTCTTCATAGAGTTCCTGGGAGGACTCATGAGCTAATGCGTGCAAAGTCCAGTGCCCCAAATGGAGAAAACGCCTCACTCAAACCTGGCTGAAGCTAGGAATCCTTGAGGCAGAACTCCATGAGGCAGAGCTGCGTCTCTGAAAGACAGTTGTAAGTGGCACACAGATGAGCATTCTAAAATTCTAATAGCGTATATGTATTTCCATATGGAAGGTGGGACAATATATATAGCACGTCAAACCCTACATTATAAAGACATTATTCCTTAGGATGAATTAAAAAATTTCAGAAGTGAGTTTACTTAGAGAAGATTATTTAGTAAATAATAATCAGATGTTTACATCTCCTCTTCCAAAATAAAAGTAACAAGTTGACTGTGAGACTCAAGTGGAGACTAGAATAGCAGAGGTGTCACTTTAAATTTTTCTTTTCCTTTCTTTCTTTTTCTTTTTTTTTTTTTTCCCACTGGGCCTGGCTTAAAATAGTCTTATTTTTCTTAACTTTAAATCTATATGACAATAGATATTAATTTTAAAGAGGGGGCGAGGGGGATATGGGGAAAAACATGACAAATTAGGAAATGCAGCAAGTGATGGTTTCCCTTCATGTGCCTTCTCACTGTCATGAAATTCAAAACTTTTATCGATGCCTCTGGATGAAGGCACCATTTTCTAAAGCCCCAGCTAAAGGCAGAGCACAGCTGAACGGCAGGAAAGAATGCCTTCGGCATGCCCGCGCTGTCTTGGCCCCAATGTCAATCCTGGTGGAAAAAACTCCCTGAAGCCAACGACAGCTGAGCTCCTCGCCTGGAATTCAGATGATCAGAGAAGGACAATTACACCCTGAGCTGAGGTTCTGGGGCACCCGAGCAGCTTGCGATGCACACAAAGGCCAGAGAGCGGACCTGCCACCTGTCCACCTCCACCCCATGTGCCGGGGGACTCGTGAGAGGGGAGTCGAGGGGAGCAGACACAGGAGGAGCAGGACAGGCCTGTGTCAGCACATACCCTGGGGTTCCCCTAAGTTGCAGTACGGTCTCTGGGGCACCAGTCACCTTCATCCCTTCTTTGTAAAATATATATAGCAGAGGAAAGCCCCTCTGTCTATCACAGCAGTCGGCCTTTGAAGCCCATGGAATGGTGACGCCTACATGGGAATTGTCTGCGGTCGGTACCCCATCTGGGCTCCTCTTGGGCCTGTGGTGTCACCCCCACTGATGGGCTCCCTAGAGCAGAGTGTTCAAGGCACACAGGACCAGAGACACTATTTGCCAGGGTTCTTGAAGTGCCCCTTAGGCAGAGGTTTAGCTCCTACCAGCCTGTGTGTCTTGGGCTCTCTACTCCTCCTAGGGCAGTGATGGCGAACCTATGACACGCGTGTCAGAGGTGACATGCGAACTCATTTTTTTTGGTTGATTTTTCTTTGTTAAATGGCATTTAAATATATAAAATAAATATCAAAAATATAAGTCTTTGTTTTACTATGGTTGCAAATATCAAAAAATTTCTATATGTGACACGGCACCAGAGTTAAGTTAAGGTTTTCCAAAATGCTGGCACGCCGAGCTCAAAAGGTTCGCCATCACTGTCCTAGGGGCTGTCCAGCCCTGCGCAGCCTCCTCCTTAGCCCCCTACCCGCCCCCCCCCCGCCCTCCCCCCCCACACACACACACCACCAGTCTAGTCACAGTGTTCACTCCTCTGCCATGGAAGAGGGAAGCAACTAACCACCTGGTAGAACCCACCCTGGGAGAGGAAGTACAGTGGAAAGAGCACTCACTGAGCCAGGAGCAGGGACTGTCAGGTAAATCCCTATAGTTCAGCCTCAAGAATAGGATTGGTAGGTACAACGCTGGACACCTAGTTCAATTGGAATGTCAGCTAAACAAGGATAAAATTTTTAGTGTATGTCCCATTGCATTATTTAGGCCATACTTATACTAAAAGCTTATTTTTGTTTGTCTGACATTCTAATTTAACTGGGGGAAGGGCTTCTATATTTTTACTTGCTGAATCAAACAACACGACTCAAGAACAACTCCATTATTCCTGTTTTGAAGGTGGGGCCATGAGGCTTAGAGAGGTTAAGCAACTTGCCTGAAGCCACGATGCTTGTGAGTGACAGAGTAGAGGTAAGATTTTTCAACCCAGAGCCACTGATTTCAAGGCCAATACTGGTTCCACAACACCACACAGGGATCTAAGCCTTACAGGAAAAGGATGCTACTGGAGGAAGTGGGGTGTTCTCTAAGGAGTTTGGGGGGGTATTCTTGGATGCCTTGTTCAAAATGTAGACAAGCACTCCATTAAGTAGTTGGTGGGTGTAGTTGGCTTGGTAGCTACAAGACTGCTCCTTTCCTATAAACATTCTTTTAGAAAAGACTTGTTCCTCCCTCCCAGCTCCAGTGCCCCTTCGACACTATCCTTCAGCGCCTGGAGAGAGCCCTTCACAAGCACGTGTATGGGTGGTGGAGGATGAAGTCACAGCACACAGCTCCAAGAGAAGCTTTGAGTCATGTTACATCCATTTAACACACGGAGGAAACCCACAGGCCTGGAGCAGTCAGCTGGCCCGAGGAATAAGCCAGTCTCCTTGGGGCTGGACAACCTTCAAAGCTCAGTGTGTGCAGCCTAGTCACCTTGCTTGAACCAGGCTGCCTCACCAGAACTTGAAAATGTCTATCTGCACTTCAGTCAACATTGTCTTGGGGGAGCAGGGGAGGCGGGGATAGGACGAGGGAAGGGGTGGCCTGCTGCCACTGTTTCTCTCCCGAAGATGGGATCACTCAGTAGATGCAAAGTTGCCCTTCAGCGGGGCTTTCTTCTTCCATGTGTGGAGCTCTAGGAATCTGCCCCCAGGAACCTGGATGGAGCACATGCAGCTCCTACATGCCCACAAAGTTCCAGATCCCCAGGGAAATTGCCGTAGCTCTGGGCATCGGCAGCATCATACGTCCCAGCCTTTTCCTCCAGATCCTCCTTGCAGAAGCCAAGGAGGACAGAGAGTGTTGGGGGCTGAGCAGAACGGTGTCAAAAGAAAATGTGGGCCTGAATCTGCCAGCACCAGCAAAGTTGGCTGCCTTACCATCACTCTATTTTCTGACGATCAAAGCAATAAATGCTCATGGTGGAGAAGCTTGAAAATGCTGGAAAGTATAAAGAAACAATAAAAACTACCCCTAATCCCATCCCGCAGAGATAGACCTTCTCCTAAAATTGTGATGTGTTTCCTAAGGATCTCTGTCCATAAAGATAATTGCCTTCATACTTCATATGTGACTTTGTATTCCACTTTTTTTTAACTTAATGAATCTTAAACACTTGCATCGCATCATTAAAAACTCTCCAAAGAATTTCTCTGACTTGGATGAATCTGTAAGGGATGCATTGAAAATGGCCACCATTTATTTAATTATTCTCCTCTTCCTTAAAATTTAGTTTCCAAGGTTTTCCCTGATAGGATAGCATAGCAGTATCTTTTTCACATACGTTTGTATCAGGCCCTTGGCCCCTGTTCCCTTATGTCTAGAATCTATATTATAAAAAAAACAGTGATCATAACGCCGTAATGACCAAACAACCAGTCACCAGGAGGTGCATTGATGGGTCTCACGGCGCGGCGGGTCTGGGGTCCCATGGTGCAGCAGGTCTGGGCCTCATGCGATTTCACGCGCTGGGCCTCTAGTCTAATATAAAAGGCATCTGACGTGACCCAAGATATGTGTCCTATCATGCTTCCTGCATCACCTGCTCTACAGAGAGCAGTGTGTCTTCCAGGGGCCCCACCAGGTAAATGAGCTGGAGAATCACTGGGGTGGCTTATAGGACATGGTCAAATGAAGGGCGGTCCTACTCAGCAGGAAGTCCAGCCCCCCTTAGACTCAGGCCATGGTTTACAAAGAGAGGGGTGGGGGGGGAGAGAATATGAATAAACCCCCAGAAACAATTTTCAGAGAAACCACCACACAATATCATTCCGCTGGGAACATGACGATAAAAGCCCTCAGAACTATGCCGCTTGGTATTTTTGCAGAACCATTGCTTGCTGATTTAGTTAATGATAACGTTGGGTTCCAAATTTCCTCTAAAAGGGAGTCTTAAGTGTCCTCAACTTGGACGGGGCTGGCTTAAAATAAATAAGTTATATAAGTCCAAATTTTGGCGGATCAGGTTTTGGAAGCCAAGGCTCTGATGTAGGATTACAGGGCCCGCCTCCCATCTTGTGGCGGGGCCTCACGTGCAGCCAGCCGCAGGGAGCGAGAGGCCTTCCAGCCGCCCCTAAAGCCCAGCTTCTCATCTGAGCGCCAACACCCACCCAGAACACACTCACAGTGCTTAGAAGACAATGAAGAGAAGCAAACATTAGGCACAACTGCCGGTGGATAATGACAGACTTCTTTTTCTTTACTCTTTTCCAACATAGAGAAAAACTTCATGGTGTTATCTGAGAGCTGCCTTCTCCCGCAGGAGAGCTGGCTTCACTCCGGTGGGAAGTAAGGTGGTTAGTATGCACTACCCTTCAAAGCTCTTAGGGCCACCCCCGGGGAAGAGGGCTGACAGGTTCCCCAGTTGCCAGTGTGGATGGAGCCCTACTTTAACTCCCGCTGTGGGAGCCACTGCAAGGGACAGAAGAAGCCCGATGCCCCGGAGGAGTCCAGGATCCTTCACGCATCCTTAGAGCAACATGGTTGTGTGAAAGGTCACAAATGAGCCCATTCATTCAAGTATTTATGTAACATAATTATTAAGCGTTTAGTAGGTGGAGGGTGCTGAGAGCCTAAGGGTTAAAAGATAAAGTACAACAGGCCCAGTCTCCAAATTGCTTATCCTAGCTGAGGACAATAGATGTCTTCACTAATAGGCAGAAACTGCTACATGACCATTATGAATGGCGAGGCAGACCAGGGATCCGCATGGGCCAGGAATGCAACGTAAAGGCACTCAGTTCTGGCCAGTCACTGGCTTCCTGGAACACAGGCCCCATGTGGCTAGAGCATCAGATTTTCCAAAGAAAGGGGAATGGGGTTTTTCTGTAAAACATCCTGATCGTTTTTGAAAGTTGGCTGAATTTTTTTAACACTATGTAAGCTCAACTAAACATGCGTATAGGCTGGATCAGGACACGCCACCAGTGTGAATCTCAGATGCGAGCTAAAACTGTGAATATGGACGATACCTACCCTTAGGGGGAAAAAAAGCACTTTACACAAGTGATATGTTTCCTATGATCGCATTTTTGTTTCAAAGCCATGCATTTACACAGAGGAAAAAAAAGACGGAAGATAACACATCAAAATGTTAACAGTAAATATCGCAGATGGCAGGATTATAAATTATTTTTTTTCTTCTGTTTAATCTTTGGAGGGGGGAAAAATGAGGTTTGGGGCAGTTTTTCTAACAGATTTAAGACTAGCTAGGGGCAGGACAGGAAGTGGCTGATCCCCAGATCCATCTGACCAGGTCTCACAGTCTAGGATGCTTTGCTCCCTGTTACAGGTTAGAGTGGGGATTGGCTCAGAGCTCTGAAGTGTCCTGGAGAATATTAAGGTCATTGAAATGTGCCAGAGTTGTCCCAATGTAATTTTAGCTTGCTAGCAAATAGAGTAATAGATACTAATCTTCCTATCAATGCTGGGCTCTTTTTAAAATAGTTATGTTGTTTGGGGGAGGGTGCCATTGTTTTTTTGTTTTTTTTCAGGAGGGGTTTGTATTTTTAAAGCAGTCTCCTTTTGCAAGGTGACGGGCTTCCTAAGATATTTTTCAGCCTCAAAAGTTCTTGCAGTCGTTTCGACACCCGCTGCCTGTGTCAAATGGCAAGCCCAGTGGAAGTCTTCTGGAAAGCAGAGGCAGGGGACGGCAGGGAAATGGCTTCTCCCCTCAACTCCGCTGTCTGGGTAATTCATTTTCCTCATTGCTGTAAAGGAAACCGTAAGAGCAGTGTGCCTACTCCAGACCTCCGAAACTGGAATGATGAGGTTGTGTGGAGGAGGCCAGGAAAAATATTTCTTGGAGTGCTTGATGCTTTTGAGGCCTTTTACTAGTAACCTGCAATACTAATTACCCAGCCGTCCTATCTGAATAAGACATTTGTGTCGTGGTTCATGGCTGTGAACGCCAGTGTCAATAAACAGGCTGTTCAAATTCAATTCTGTTGCATCTCAAAACTGGATTCTTTGGATCCTCCTAGGCAAATCCAACCTACTTGTAATCCAAGCAAGTGTTGGGTGTAGAAAAAGGAGCATGGCATGGCCTTTGGGGGAGGAAAGGAGTAGGGGAGTTGTCCACCTAGGCACAGAAAATAGAATCATTTTTTTCTGCTCCTTTAAAAAAAAAAAAGGAATATCAATATATAACCAGCCCTGCTTCCACCATTTCTTGGCTGTGTGACCGTTAGCAAGTTACTTAATCTTTCTGTGCCTCAGGCTTCTCACCTGTAAAATGGGGATACTACAGTACCTGCCTCACAGGGGTTTTAAGAGGCTGCAATGTGTTAATATGTGTAAAATGATTATTAGAACAGTGCTGGTACATGGTGAGTGCAAATACATGTGGAGAAAATAGCCATGTTTAATCAAATCAAGTACAGTAATCTGAAGAGTGAAGGTGGCTGACAACTATGCCCTGTGGCGCTGATGCTTTCTTTCCTGAGAGGGAGCCTGAGTGGGACTCACTGAGGTCACGGCTGAGCCGCCCTTCAAAAGCAGACCAAGTGGGAGGCTGGGATGCTCTGGTTCAGGCCGCTTGCTTTCACAGACCTGCTAATGTGCACTAAGTTGGCCGACTTCAAAAACTGTCACTCTCATGCTCCCTAAGAAAGAAATTTGAAAACCATTCCTCTACCCACATATTTAATTTACCTAAACTTTAATTTACCACTTCAAATTCATATGAAATGGTTGCAAAGGATTTCCTATCTATTATAGAAATTTTTTAGAGTAGCAACCCAGCTGTTTTTTTGGAAAAGAAAAACAGTAGGATTGCTACTTTAAACAAATCTCAGGGCCTAATTACTCCAGCAATACCCTAACAATTTGCCACCCACTATCACCCATTTAAAAACATGCAAACAAGCATTTCTTTCACATTCGGAAATATTGTTTCCTCTGGCCACTAGGCTCTAAGTGTTAAAAAAAAATCTTCCACATTAAAGTATCATAAGTTATTATTAATACAAAATTGACCAAAATATCATTAATATATTTTAACATTTGATATACAATTATATTTAAAGTAATTTTTAATGCATCTCAGTGAGAAGCATGAGGATATTTTTCTGCAGCTAGTTCTTATGTTCAAGAAGGGCTATTACTTATTGTTAGAAAGTGACAGGTCTTAGAATCATTTTTATTCCTGTTTTTGTTTTGTTTTTTCTTCATAGATCTGACCACTAAGAACTTTTATTCACATAAACATGGTAATGGGAAGGGTAGGAGTTTTCCTACAACCCTGACATGCAGTTCTTTGAACTCCTTCTGAATTGCATATCCAAAGCACAATATAATTCTTAAACATCTATCACTTTGATTAGGTGCTCCAATTTTGTTGATAGTAAATAATTGGAAACCATCTAACTTGAGAAAGGATTGATGGTTCAGTCACTAATGGCTCACTGTGTGAAGTAAACCAAAAGGGCCAGGACTTGTAAGTTACTATTATTTTACCTGTTATCATTTCACTCAGAAGCACTTTGTTAAATTTGTCTCAGTAGGAGTTGAGCAAATAAGAATATTTTCGTCCATCTTTTAGAACAGAACTCCTTTAAAGCTTTATCTTGTTGCATGCCTTAAATAATTTTTTTTTTTTCAAAATCTTGGGAGTTTCAGATATGGCTTATTCAACTGATGAAAACTGTTTCATCATATGATCTAACCATCAAACCAATCAGCCAAGTTAAATGCATTTCTTGATATTAAAAGTGTGACTTTATTTTTCAACTCAAGTTAGTGCCTTGATATTCATTTTGGAGAGTATTATGAAAACCACTGAGAAATAAATTATGAAATGCATCACATAAAGTAGATTACTAAATAGCAGCCAAATTTACAATGATGTGTATCTTGTATAATTAATTTTACAGTCAGTGTAAAATAGAATAATAATGCTGTTTCTCATTACTTGATTTGCAATAAAAATGGCATACTATTTTGCTAAAATTAGTTATTGATGGAACCAGAAATATGATAGAAGGCATGATATTCTTTCCTTAAGTTGTATGAATGTATGTCACTCTGATGTGTGGCTTTGGGGATACTTTTAAAAATATGTTTAAAAA